CCCCGAGGAGGGAAAACGGAATAGAGAAGAAGAACGCGCGCCGGGCGAGACGGCTCTTGCCGGATACGACGTACTCGGAACGCGGATGAGTACGTGAGTGGCATGTGTGAAGGGACGAAGGAAGGGCGGACGCGGGCGCGCCCCACGAAGAATACCCTTCGCGAGCACGTAATCTATTTGTCGGACGACCGCAGACTGTGCGACGTTACGGAATCGTCTGACTGCAAAGAGACGCCGCCGCGAAAACGTGAAACCGATACAACGAGCTCGCACGAAGACGGAAGGAAACGCCGGCTTGGCGGGAATCGTTAAAAAAAGTTCCATTCTCATTCTCACCGTTGAACAAGAGAGAGAAGGCTTCGATATAAGTTTGAACCGTTCGTGCCTTGTACGAGAAGCCTGTGGTCCGCTATTAGAGGTAAATCCGAGAAATCGAGCGCGATATGTATGTAAGGGAAATCCTGGCGTATAGCCGCGATCGACGTTAACCGGCTCGTAGCCATTCCGGAGTGGTGTAAAACCGACTTTAATACTGTCGTATTTCTGGTCGTAAGAAATTCCATCTCCGAGCGCGCGCCCGAGCACTTACGGTTTTTGTACTTCAGCCACACTACCACTATCGAGAAAGCCGAAACCGAGACGAAACGATTCGCCGTAACAATGTGACACTTTTATCATTACGCGTGCAAAACGGTAATCCCGCAAAGATCCCAGCTGAAAGATCCATTCGGTTCCACGTTTGCATCTCGTATCACCTATTCCGGCGAGGAGATGAGGGGATTATCGAATGGCGCATCGTGGACTTGTAAAACTTTCGAAAGTGTCATTTAATTTTAATCAACGCAATAACGAGGACCATCGAGATGGCATCCGTTCAAACATGTAGTCGACCGTTTGAATGGATTCCCGGCGTTATCGCGTCGCTCTCGAGCTCTTATTCTCATCGATTCGCGGAATAACGGGCCATAAAAGGCGTCGAATTTCGGGGCCCGATCGACGGACCGCACCGAAAAGTGCCCGGACAAGCGGAGCTTGTCGGGACCCCGATATATCCGATAAAACTGCGCATGGGCCGCGAACGGTTACGGGCCCGGCTCGTGTATATGCATACGCGAGCGCTGCGGATTTGCATTCTAATTGTCGGACGATCTGACAAACGCGCCATTATGGGCCCCGTTCGGAATCGTGCGACGGCAGCTGAGGAGGCTCCTGCGTCACGAAACGAGGTGCCAAAGAGTCCTCAAAGATAACGAGAACGGGCAATAATCGAAAAAGTAAGGGCCTCTTATCTTATCCACTCCGCCAGTCTCGAAGGCAATAGCGTCTTCGATGCGTCCGTTTAATATACATAAGTATACAGGTTATCGCGGAAAATGGAAAATACGAATGGTGGGAATACGAGCGTTCCCCGACAACGCACAACCGGTCGTTGCGAGTAACTAGTTATGGCGAATTAATTTGAACAGCAGTGTCAATACGTTTGATTTCGCGACCATCTCCCATGAAACCATATTTATTTCATGAATACAAATTTTAATCGACGAACGTTCATTAGAAATTTGCGCGCGAAAGAAGGTAAAGAGATAATAATCGGCAAGATAACGATTGCGAATAATTAACGCTCATTTAGAAACGTAAGGAGACATGTATTCGTATAACATGAAAACACGAAGGAAAATATCCCGTACGAGCGATCGTAAAAGGGACGCAAGCAAAGGGGCAACATTTACGCACAAGTCGTTTTATCTTATCGATGGACCTTCCCCAAAATCGCCACCGTTTCGCCGGATCCAATCGGCCTTGATACCCAATAAGTATAAACACGCGTCGTTAACCGTGACTCTAGCCCCTGAAATTTAATTCCAACCTTTCACGACGACTACCGAATTTTTTAATTAACCGCCCATCCACGCACGATTCACCGCCGTGCTTAATTTAAGCCGCTTGTAATACACGTCGCTCATGATCATATTTTTATAAGGAGACGGACGATGCGAAATTAATTTCCTTCGAACACGACCCGTCGGCGCGAAATTAATTTCATGCGTATCGTCGAACGCGAACGCATGTATTAAATTAGTATACTCCTCCTTTAATTTCCTTACATTCACTTTTTTATCTAACTTTGCGTAAAATGTACATACGTGTGGACGAGTGTCCCTGTCAGAATTCTGAAGCAACCAATACCGATACCAACATTGTTAGTTTCATATACAAAAGTGTGATGGTACTTGCAAATGAATTAAATCATCTTTCACATTATAAAACATTAAATTATATAGACGACTCGCGCGTGGCGCAACGGAAATCATTGATCGACACTTTCCTGACGATTTCTAGTATCTGGCGGGCGATTGTTCGGATACCGTTTGTAATTCAACGACCAATGCACACTCGAACGGTCTATCTAATTGCCGTGTGCCCATAAGAAGCCTCTTGCCGCCGAGCGTTAATGAATACTTCAAGTCACGACCGGTAATTACACTTTAAACGTCGCGGCGATGCCTGCGACGTGGCGAGTGCACGTATTTCGTGGTACGTTTCTCTCATCTCTCACGGAGTCGCGTGGACAAAGGACTCACGTGTACTCTAGGACGAAAGGAGACGAAAGCCGAGGAGCACAATGCCGAACATTATGCGCGGTGAGGTTCAGAGTTAACTCGAGCCTCGACGCCGCGTCTTCTCCTCCGGTATCTCTCTTCGTCCTCGATTATCTTTTTCTCCCTCGGTCGCGCTCCCCCCCCCCCCCCCCCCCCCCCCCCCCCCCTCTCTGGTGGACTTTGCTTTACAATGTAGCATGTACTTTGTAAGTTTGGGTCCCCTATTCGCTATATTTACCAAAGTTGCTGCTAACGGTTAATTTTCTGAAAATTTATTGATTTATGTCTGTATTATAAAATAAAATAATTATATTGTGTCTTATAAGACAATATAATGAAAGCAAATAATAAAGACAAAGTTATACATTTTTAATATATACTACCTTGTTTTTTTAATTATTTTCAGAAAATTAACAGTTAGCAGGAAATTTTATTATAATTTTATTCCCCCCCTCCTCCGTCCATTTCGTCGGCTCGCTCTGCACGTGTGCGCGATCGTAAAAAAATGCAACTAATTAACGACCAAAAAGTAGGGCCAGCGAGAAGGTTTTTGCCGCGACCGCGAGAGAAGGTCCGGGCTGTCCGTCCAACTAGAAGAGCCTGACCGTGTATCTCGCGCCTTCGTTTCGCTTCTCCGATAACCATCGGCTGACGGGCCGAGTCGTCGATGAAGAAAGGAACGCGTTCTCTTACATGATGAAGCTTCTTCAACGCTCTCTTTTCGACGGGCGATAAACGACGATGTGTCAAATATCGTTTGAATTGAGATAAATGAAATCGGCTGTTTGTATAAAAAAAAAAAAAAATGTGCAAAATACATTTGCACTTCTTTAATACGTACACTCTTTGATTAACTCAAGTTGTTGACGATGTTTGTATCTCGTTGACATCAGAAATTTTACGAGAGACTAACGATTAAGCGGTAACGCTAAATTATATACTACCGACGTAAATCGATCTGATTGGATGGCAATAAAACACTAATGAGATGACTGTAATAATATCCACCATTTCGCGGAGATTGATTATATGAGTTTTTGTGTACCGGCTAAAGGATTAATGATAGTTGCGTCTTTAACGAGTTGTTAAAGACTACCTGTAGAAAGATGAGCGCAACTCGTTCAAGATTGTGATTACCCATACGTCGTTCATCTGTACGGTTTCCTATTCTTCGACATTATTAACAACGCCATGTTATTACTTGGTTTACCACAGTAAAAGTAACGTAAAGCATTAATATTTATAAGCTACTATTCTTGAACATCGAACTTCGCCATCTGTGCATTAAATACTGCGTTAATGATTACTGCAATGAATATACAGCGTATAACGAACGTAAAATGCACGTAACGAGTGCAATATAATTAATTCACGTAAAGTTGAGAAACCATTAGCTCGAGAGAAGGCAAAAGTATATATATATAAATCGGTATATTTTCAAAGATTAAATAAATCCTAAATTAGTTGTATATCTCGTTCTTGAAAACGAGCGGTTTTCTTTAAGAAATACCGCGTAAAAAGAAGGGATCTTTTGGCAACGATAACGCGGTTAACGGCAGATTCTCAGAAAGCCGCGCGGTCCGCCTCTCTCGCCTACAATCTAATTAATCTAATTAAGCCGAAGTGCCTCGTTATTGCGGCATGCGTTGTACGCATAAGGGAGAATTAAGAAAAAAAAATGCAAGAGAATGGTCAAGTTGCGCTTGTAACAGATCGGTAACGCAAGATCGTCTTACGGAGTCTTGTCGTTTGGATTGTGTCGCCGATAGTCAACATGATCCATTAAAAGAATTATTATCGTATCGAGAGCCCCTCTTCGCTTATATATTCAGTTTAAAACTATTTTATTTTTTGTCCGTTGTGCGTGTACATTTTATGCTCAATGTTCAATTTAATCGCGCTCAATTAATTCCGTCCTATATTATAGCGGACGACGAAATAAAAATAGTCGGAATTAAATAACGCGAATTTAAAAAACAAATTTTTCACATTTACTAATTTCGTGTGTGAGAGCTTAATTTTAATTTTTTACCTCTTAACATCCTGATGTTTCACGTGAACCATTTTTAATTACGCGACCGTATCACGCGCGTTCACACGTGCATGCAATCACGTTTCGTATCAGCGACGTAATCTCACGACACGCACGTGAACGCTGTAAACGAACCGAGCGATTATGACGATCATTCATCCGGCGAGTTTTCTCGAACAAGAGCGATTACGCAGAGCGGAAACTTGGGTTTTTCTCGGGCAAGAGTTACTAATATAACGAACCGCTTCGTTAATTACGATAATTAAACTGCACGCAGCTGGTATGAGATTTCTGCATTCCGAAAGAATTGTCTCAATCCTGTCACGCTTACCGATAATGGTGATTTGGCTGGAGAAAGATTCACTTACCCATTGCATCTGAAACACAAAAATAAACATTCATTTTTAATAAAGATCAGTTTAAATAGATTTAGAAAAAATATATATAACTTGCACATTTTTTATATTATACTCTTATTTACTCTCTTAATATCAAGTACTATCAAACATGATCAAGAATCAAGATATTGATACTAGTCATTTTCAATTTTCGATATTAAAGATATTCACATTTTTATGTCTGGATTACGTTGGATATTCTAATGGAAAGATATCGATATAATAACGCACGATCATTATATCAATATTTACGCTTTATGCCTCGTCATGGTCCGTCTGAATGTTACGGTATGCGAGGGTTCCCTGAGTCTCCGGTAAGAACCGAGCCGAATGACTTTATGCGCAAGGCGCAATAAAAAGATCGCGCGAACGCACGGCGAATTCCGCGCTAATTGCCCGACGGCGCTAAAGAGCGTTTCAGAAGGTTCTTCTCGGCCATGATTTTATGCGAGCGGAGATCAAAGTCGAAACTTACCGCGGTTATACTTTGAATCCGGTGAAAAATGTCGACTGCTCCTAAATCGATCGAAAGATATCGCGACTCGAACGGGAGACATCCGACCACGTTGGTCGACGCACGTGTAATTTATTTATCATTTCCCATTAAATAAAGAATCGGGGTCTAATTGCCTCATTGTGTGAGCGTGCGAGCCGTGTTAAGCGCGGGCGGCAGCCGCCGCCGTGATAAATCATAACGAAAGACCGAGTCCGGCGCTCGAAACAATCGTGCGACTGAATGAAATCTTGCGAAATAAACGAGCTTAGTTCGTGCCGCCGCGACTAATATCCGTCCTTACTAATCGCACGCTGTAACTCGAAATATCGTTCGGGCGGAGCGACAGCGTTCCAAGGAGAGTCGCTCTCTCGGTCGAGACCCGCGAGATATACATTGCCGGGAGGGATATCTCATGACGGACAACGACGCAAATATACGCCGCGCCCGGCCGCGTGATACAGAATTGACAGGACTAGTTTTAAACGCGCAAGCGAAAATCGAGACCGGCGTCGATATACAACTACACGCGCGGCTTTATTTAAACTGGAAGCCTGAACGATCACTCATATAACTCATCGGAATAATCTCCGCAAAAGACACATATCGCGAGCTCCCCGCGTCTTGTATATACACCCGTGTCTCTATCTCTACCTTCGTCTATCTCTATTTATTATTCTTAGCCGCGACTGTGTCTCCGCAGAGCGATAGCCGACACTCCTCGCGTGTAGCGTAGCACGTGTACGTATGTACGCAACTTGCGACGGTTTGTACACGTGTGTAAGTAAGTAGATAGATATGGTATAGGTATATGTATGTAGGCATTTTTCGCGCGTTCCATTCTCTCTTCCATAGCTGGTTTACTCGCACGAAGCAAGGTGAGTTTGTGTACGGGCTGACTAACCCATTAGCACTTCGGTCTGTCGATCGACATGGCGGATCGCGATCGATAAAAGCCACGCCGAATACTTCCTGC